GTTAATATAGCCTCCTGTGTGCTCATTTGGGCCTGATGCGGCCCTGGAACCAGGCTGGTGGGAAGGCTTCCCTTTAGAGCCTTAAAAGTTTACAGATTGCCTTATGATTCCAAGGAAGCTAGTCCCCATGGGGGAGGCTTTAAATTCTTGTCCACATCAAGACGCCTGGCTCTGAGGCAGGGTTTTTCTGTATTGTTTTAGAGGCTCTCGGACCAGCCTGGTCTCGTCCTCACAGACATCCGCCTGCCTCTAGCTCCCGAGTGCTGGGATTAAAGGCGTGTGCCACCAGCGCCCAGATAAACCAAGCATTTGAAATGAGGAAATGCTCAAGGCCACCACGCACTACAACAGATTGAATTATCCTCAGAGAAACTGAGCTCACACCTTTAATCCCAGCAATGAGGAGGTGGAGACAGAAGGGGTGTGGCTTGGCAGAGCGAGGTATTTAAGGCAGGAAGAGAGCCAGCTCACCACATTCAGCCTGAGGATTGCTAGACACCATTTCTCTTCCTTTGTGCCTGAGGATTCACGAGAGGTAAGAAGTCACACTGGGGATTGGGACTTTGATTCTCCGACCTTTCAGCATTAACTCTGATTACTGACTCTGGGTTTACTAAGACAAATTAGTATTCTGGCTACACAACCTTTAGTTTTACTTTGTGTTTTGTTAAACCCCAGTAATATCACTGTGGACTTTTACATGATGAGGGTCAATGTCTGCAGCTTCCTTACAGTGCTTTGTACTCTGAAATGATGTCCTAGGATTGCGAGCAGTCTAGCATCTGTGGGTGAGAACAGCTTGATTGAATTCACATCCTAAATTAGCATTTTTGAGTTCCATGCGCATAGTTGTAAACACTAACGTTTAACATTGAAAAATTTCCCCAGCGGTAATTTTTCAGCTGAGAAATATGCACTGTCAAGTAGATACAGCATTCTAAAAAGTATTTTGACAGATTTGTGGAAAACAACTTTTATCCCATCATTGGTGAGGCAAAGACAGCTGGATGTCAGGGAGATACAGGCTATCCCTTCACTATATTGATTTCTACTTCAACCTGTGCTTCGTGGTGAGAATATTTCTCTGACGAAAAAAAGAAAAGGAGAAAAAGAAATTTGTATTTTTGTGCTGGGTCCTTAAAGTCGCACTCTTGAGCCTGTTTCATGGTACCAGGCCACAGTATTTTCCCAGTTATTAAAGGAGTTTTAAACAAGGTGGTCTTGACACAGGTCTGCAATCCAATTGTTCAGTATTGTCCTGGTGTCTGATTCCAGGGTTTTAAACACGAATTAGATTTCCGGAGACCACGAGTTCTGATTCCGAGACCAAAATGGCCGACAAAATGGATATGTCTTTGGATGACATCATTAAGCTGAACCGGAGCCAGCAAGGCAGTCGCGGCAAAGGCCAGGGCTGGAGCAGGGCCGGCTACCAGGGCCGCCACGGTGGTGCCATGCAGGCCCCTGTGTGGGGGAATCGACGCAGCAGGTCTCTGAAGAACCGGCCTACCATGAGTGGTGGCTCTGCCGGAGGAGGCAGGAAGAGGCCGGCTCCCTACAGCAGGCCTATACAACTCTCCAACAACGTGGCAGCATGACCTATTCGACAGTCACTTCCGTGGTGGAGCCAGCATGGAGATGGGCGGAAAGCTGTTTGTGTCAAACCTTGACTGCGGGGTGTCAGACGCGGATATTCAGGAACTCTTCTCAGAGTTTGGAACACTGAAGACAGCAGCTGTGCACTATGATTGCTCTGGACGTAGTTTAGGGACAGCACATGTGCACTTTCTACAGAAGGCAGATGCTCTGAAGGCTATGAAACAGTACGATGGTGTCCCTTTAGATGGCCGCCCAATGAACATTCAGCTTGTCTCATCGCAGACTGACTCACAAGGAAAACCTGCACAGAGAATAAACAGAGGTGCCATGAGGAGAAACCATGGCTCAGGGTGTTTTGGTGGTGGCCTCATCCGGAGAGGGACCCGTGGAGGCAGCCCTGGAAGAGGTAGAGCTACGAGCAGGAACTCAAAGCAGCATCTTTCTGTCGAGCAGTTGGATGCACAGCTGGATGAGTACCATGCACAGATGGACACCAGTTGAACAGCCGGGCATATCCACAGAAATGACAGGACCCAGAAGCTTTGTCCGTAATCCCTCGAGGGGGTTTGAAAACTGGACTGTGAGGACAATGGTGGATTTCTTTTTGTTTGTCTCTCTCTGTCATTTTTCCCTGTTTTCAAATGGGATCTAAAAACACATGTAAAGGCTTTTTTCCCCTCCTTTTCTAATACGGAAACAGACCTGTTTTGTACCGAGTTATGTTGGCGATCAGTTTTACTGGTTACTGTTGTGCAGAAGGAGGCATATTCACCTTTGCCATAATAAACTAGACTTGTGTGTAGGAAAGAAAATAAAAAGAGAATTCTGGCTACAAAACCTACTGTGTTTGAGTTTGTTGTGAACTGCCACCTAGTGGTGAGACTGTGTAATTCCCACAAGAGGAGGGTCAATGCCTGCAGCCTGCTCAGGGGGATTGTTACAGAGAATGGATGTGGCAGAGTTGCAGCAGTCTGCTTTTTGTGGGTGAGAACAGTTTGCTTGCTGTCTCCCTTGCTCCTCCTGAGGGTTTCTTGGAAAAATACTTGTTAAGTGTAATTCTCTCAGGCAGATTTTCATAAAATTTGGTCTATAGTAAATTAAGTAATTCATTTTGTGTGCTTTTGTGATCCCAAATATTCAGTTCCATTTCTGCTCCTGAGGTTTGACTGGGTAGTGATTGGAAGTGGCATTCCAGTTACAGTCACTGAAGGTGGTTTGTAGTTATTTTCAGTGCTATGCCTGTTTATGTCAAATGGGGAATCACTTGAAGGGGCCTATATCTTTCACAACTTGAGTACAGTTCTGTGTTAACAATCCAGGTACTTCCCTTCTGAATGATCTCTTGCTCATGTTGGGGGCAATTAATCCCCCAGATCTGCTCACCTGCGGAGCCAGACAAAAAGTCCTAGAAAGTAGAGAGGGGGGAGATAGTAGTGAATGATCCAGTGGGATACATTCAGTTTTCCCGCATTCTGTTTTACTGGAAATATTTCTATAGGCTTCCACTGAGAAAGATCTCAGAATTATCCCGCTATAGCTATGACAAGACTTTCTACATAAGAATTGGTACTAGTTGGAAAATCCATCTTATATGAATAATCATGTGAGCCATGCATAGTATATTTAGGTTCTACTTCAAGATATATCCTTGCCTAATGCTCAGAAATAGGCTAGGCTTTCAGTTCCAGAAATGAATTTCCTGTGGTTGAGTCCTCCTTAAGTCCAATTATAAGCTGTTGGTTACCACCAATGTATGTGTGCTGCTCTTGCAGCCTTCAGGTTATCATGCAGGGCAGACCATTTTTATGGTTCATAATTTTCATACCTGGGAAGGGCTGTTGACTTTATGTTGGGGGAAGTCTTGTGTCTTTGTCAATAAAGAACTGTTGACCAATAGCGAACCAAGATAGCTGGGACTAGGAGTCCAGAGGACTCTGGGAAGTAGAAACACCGATGTTAAGATATAAGACCATGGGGTAAGACGCCCGGAAAGTTCTCCGGTAAGAGAAATACTTAGATTATCCATTATGGGATAAATACTTAAGTCAGGGCTAGCCAGTAAGAAACATACAAGGCCAACAGCTTCATAGTTGATATAGCCTCCTGTGTGTTTATTTGGGCCTGATGCGGCTCTGGAACCAGGCTGGAGGGAAGGCTTCCCTTTAGAGCTTTAAAAGTTTACAGATTGCCTTATGATACCAAGGAAGCTAGTCCCCATGGGGGAGGCTTTAAATTCTTGTCCACATCAAGACTCCTGGCTCTGAGACAGGGTTTTTCTGTATTGTTTTGGAGGCTCTCGGACCAGCCTGGTCTCGTCCTCACAGACATCCGCCTGCCTCTAGCTCCCGAGTGCTGGGATTAAAGGCGTGTGCCACCACCGCCCAGATACACCAAGCATTTGAAATGAGGAAATGCTCAAGGCCACCAAGCACTACAACAGATTGAATTATCCTCAGAGAAACTGAGCTCACACCTTTAATCCCAGCACTGAGGAGGTGGAGACAGAAGGGGTGTGGCTTGGCAGAGGGAGGTATTTAAGGCAGGAAGAGAGCCAGCTCACCCCATTCAGCCTGAGGATTGCTAGACACCATTTCTCCTCCTTTGTACCTGAGGATTCACGAGAGGTAAGAAGTCACACTGGGGATTGGGACTTTGATTCTCCGACCTTTCAGCATTAACTCTGATTTCTGACTCTGGGTTTACTAAGACTAATTGGTATTCTGGCTACACAACCTGTTGTTTTACTTTGTGTTTTGTTAAACCCCAGTAATATAACTGTGGACTTTTAAATGATGAGGGTCAATGTCTGCAGCTTCCTTACAGTGCTTTGTACTCTGAAATGATGTCCTAGGATTGCAGCAGTCTAGCATCTGTGGGTGAGAACAGCTTGTTTGAATTCACATCCAAAATGAGCATTTTTGAGTCCCATGCGCATAGTTGCAAACACTAACATTTAACATTGAAAATTTTCCCCAGCAGTAATTTTTCAACTGAGAAATATGCACTGTCAAGTAAATATAGCATTCTAAAAAGTATTTTGACAGATTTGTGGAAAACAACTTTTATCCCACCATTGGTGTGGCAAAGACAGCTGGATGTCAGGGAGATACAGGCTATCCCTTCACTATATTGATTTCTACTTCAACCTGTGTTTCTTGGTGAGAATATTTCTCTGACCAAAAAAGAAAAGGAGAAAAAGAAATTTGTATTTTTGTGCTGGGTCCTTAAAGTCGCACTCTTGAGCCTGTTTCATGGTACCAGGCCACAGTATTTTCCCAGTTAGAAAAGGAGTTTTAAACAAGGTGGTGTTGACACAGGTCTGCAATCCAATTTGTTCAGTATTGTCCTGGTATCTGATTCCAGGGTTTTAAACACGAATTAGATTTCAGGAGACCACGAGTTCTGATTCCGAGACCAAAATGGCCGACAAAATGGATATGTCTTTGGATGACATCATTAAGCTGAACCGGAGCCAGCAAGGCAGTCGCGGCAAAGGCCAGGGCTGGAGCAGGGCCGGCTACCAGGGCCGCCACGGTGGTGCCATGCAGGCCCCTGTGTGGGGGAATCGACGCAGCAGGTCTCTGAAGAACCGGCCTACCATGAGTGGTGGCTCTGCCGGAGGAGGCAGGAACAGGCCGGCTCCCTACAGCAGGCCTATACAACTCTCCAACAACGTGGCAGCATGACCTATTCGACAGTCACTTCCGTGGTGGAGCCAGCATGGAGATGGGCGGAAAGCTGTTTGTGTCAAACCTTGACTGCGGGGTGTCAGACGCGGATATTCAGGAACTCTTCTCAGAGTTTGGAACACTGAAGACAGCAGCTGTGCACTATGATTGCTCTGGACGTAGTTTAGGGACAGCACATGTGCACTTTCTACAGAAGGCAGATGCTCTGAAGGCTATGAAACAGTACGATGGTGTCCCTTTAGATGGCCGCCCAATGAACATTCAGCTTGTCTCATCGCAGACTGACTCACAAAGAAAACCTGCACAGAGAATAAACAGAGGTGCCATGAGGAGAAACCATGGCTCAGGGTGTTTTGGTGGTGGCCTCATCCGGAGAGGGACCCGTGGAGGCAGCCCTGGAAGAGGTAGAGCTACGAGCAGGAACTCAAAGCAGCATCTTTCTGTCGAGCAGTTGGATGCACAGCTGGATGAGTACAATGCACAGATGGACACCAGTTGAACAGCCGGGCATATCCACAGAAATGACAGGACCCAGAAGCTTTGTCCGTAATCCCTCGAGGGGGTTTGAAAACTGGACTGTGAGGACAATGGTGGATTTCTTTTTGTTTGTCTCTCTCTGTCTTTTTTCCCTGTTTTCAAATGGGATCTAAAAACACATGTAAAGGCTTTTTTTCCCTCCTTTTCTAATACGGAAACAGACCTGTTTTGTACCGAGTTATGTTGGCGATCAGTTTTACTGGTTACTGTTGTGCAGAAGGAGGCATATTCACCTTTGCCATAATAAACTAGACTTGTGTGTAGGAAAGAAAATAAAAAGAGAATTCTGGCTACAAAACCTACTGTGTTTTAGTTTGTTGTGAACTGCCACCTAGTGGTGAGACTGTGTAATTCCCACAAGAGGAGGGTCAATGCCTGCAGCCTGCTCAGGGGGATTGTTACAGAGAATGGATGTGGCAGAGTTGCAGCAGTCTGCTTTTTGTGGGTGAGAACAGTTTGCTTGCTGTCTCCCTTGCTCCTCCTGAGGGTTTCTTGGAAAAATACTTGTTAAGTGTAATTCTCTCAGGCAGATTTTCATTAAATTTGGTCTATAGTAAATTAAGTAATTCATTTTGTGTGCTTTTGTGATCCCAAATATTCAGTTCCATTTCTGCTCCTGAGGTTTGACTGGGTAGTGATTGGAAGTGGCATTCCAGTTACAGTCACTGAAGGTGGTTTGTAGTTATTTTCAGTGCTATGCCTGTTTATGTCAAATGGGGAATCACTTGAAGGGGCCTATATCTTTCACAACTTGAGTACAGTTCTGTGTTAACAATCCAGGTACTTCCCTTCTGAATGATCTCTTGCTCATGTTGGGGGCAATTAATCCCCCAGATCTGCTCACCTGCGGAGCCAGACAAAAAGTCCTAGAAAGTAGAGAGGGGGGAGATAGTAGTGAATGATCCAGTGGGATACATTCAGTTTTCCCGCATTCTGTTTTACTGGAAATATTTCTATAGGCTTCCACTGAGAAAGATCTCAGAATTATCCCGCTATAGCTATGACAAGACTTTCTACATAAGAATTGGTACTAGTTGGAAAATCCATCTTATATGAATAATCATGTGAGCCATGCCTAGTATATTTAGGTTCTACTTCAAGATATATCCTTGCCTAATGCTCAGAAATAGGCTAGGCTTTCAGTTCCAGAAATGAATTTCCTGTGGTTGAGTCCTCCTTAAGTCCAATTATAAGCTGTTGGTTACCACCAATGTATGTGTGCTGCTCTTGCAGCCTTCAGGTTATCATGCAGGGCAGACCATTTTTATGGTTCATAATTTTCATACCTGGGAAGGGCTGTTGACTTTATGTTGGGGGAAGTCTTGTGTCTTTGTCAATAAAGAACTGTTGACCAATAGCGAACCAAGATAGCTGGGACTAGGAGTCCAGAGGACTCTGGGAAGTAGAAACACAGAAGTTAAGATATAAGACCATGGGGTAAGACGCCCGGAAAGTTCTCCGGTAAGAGAAATACTTAGATTATCCATTATGGGATAAATACTTAAGTCAGGGCTAGCCAGTAAGAAACATACAAGGCCAACAGCTTCATAGTTAATATAGCCTCCTGTGTGTTTATTTGGGCCTGATGCGGCTCTGGAACCAGGCTGGTGGGAAGGCTTCCCTTTAGAGCTTTAAAAGTTTACAGATTGCCTTATGATACCAAGGAAGCTAGTCCCCATGGGGGAGGCTTTAAATTCTTGTCCACATCAAGACGCCTGGCTCTGAGGCAGGGTTTTTCTGTATTGTTTTGGAGGCTCTCGGACCAGCCTGGTCTCGTCCTCACAGACATCCGCCTGCCTCTAGCTCCCGAGTGCTGGGATTAAAGGCGTGTGCCACCAGCGCCCAGATAAACCAAGCATTTGAAATGAGGAAATGCTCAAGGCCACCACGCACTACAACAGATTGAATTATCCTCAGAGAAACTGAGCTCACACCTTTAATCCCAGCAATGAGGAGGTGGAGACAGAAGGGGTGTGGCTTGGCAGAGCGAGGTATTTAAGGCAGGAAGAGAGCCAGCTCACCCCATTCAGCCTGAGGATTGCTAGACACCATTTCTCTTCCTTTGTGCCTGAGGATTCACGAGAGGTAAGAAGTCACACTGGGGATTGGGACTTTGATTCTCCGACCTTTCAGCATTAACTCTGATTACTGACTCTGGGTTTACTAAGACAAATTAGTATTCTGGCTACACAACCTTTAGTTTTACTTTGTGTTTTGTTAAACCCCAGTAATATCACTGTGGACTTTTACATGATGAGGGTCAATGTCTGCAGCTTCCTTACAGTGCTTTGTACTCTGAAATGATGTCCTAGGATTGCAACAGTCTAGCATCTGTGGGTGAGAACAGCTTGATTGAATTCACATCCTAAATTAGCATTTTTGAGTTCCATGCGCATAGTTGTAAACACTAACATTTAACATTGAAAAATTTCCCCAGCAGTAATTTTTCAGCTGAGAAATATGCACTGTCAAGTAGATATAGCATTCTAAAAAGTATTTTGACAGATTTGTGGAAAACAACTTTTATCCCATCATTGGTGAGGCAAAGACAGCTGGATGTCAGGGAGATACAGGCTATCCCTTCACTATATTGATTTCCACTTCAACCTGTGCTTCGTGGTGAGAATATTTCTCTGACAAAAAAAGAAAAGGAGAAAAAGAAATTTGTATTTTTGTGCTGGGTCCTTAAAGTCGCACTCTTGAGCCTGTTTCATGGTACCAGGCCACAGTATTTTCCCAGTTATTAAAGGAGTTTTAAACAAGGTGGTCTTGACACAGGTCTGCAATCCAATTGTTCAGTATTGTCCTGGTATCTGATTCCAGGGTTTTAAACACGAATTAGATTCCCGGAGACCACGAGTTCTGATTCCGAGACCAAAATGGCCGACAAAATGGATATGTCTTTGGATGACATCATTAAGCTGAACCGGAGCCAGCAAGGCAGTCGCGGCAAAGGCCAGGGCTGGAGCAGGGCCGGCTACCAGGGCCGCCACGGTGGTGCCATGCAGGCCCCTGTGTGGGGGAATCGACGCAGCAGGTCTCTGAAGAACCGGCCTACCATGAGTGGTGGCTCTGCCGGAGGAGGCAGGAACAGGCCGGCTCCCTACAGCAGGCCTATACAACTCTCCAACAAGGGGCAGCATGACCTATTCGACAGTCACTTCCGTGGTGGAGCCAGCATGGAGATGGGCGGAAAGCTGTTTGTGTCAAACCTTGACTGCGGGGTGTCAGACGCGGATATTCAGGAACTCTTCTCAGAGTTTGGAACACTGAAGACAGCAGCTGTGCACTATGATTGCTCTGGACGTAGTTTAGGGACAGCACATGTGCACTTTCTACAGAAGGCAGATGCTCTGAAGGCTATGAAACAGTACGATGGTGTCCCTTTAGATGGCCGCCCAATGAACATTCAGCTTGTCTCATCGCAGACTGACTCACAAGGAAAACCTGCACAGAGAATAAACAGAGGTGCCATGAGGAGAAACCATGGCTCAGGGTGTTTTGGTGGTGGCCTCATCCGGAGAGGGACCCGTGGAGGCAGCCCTGGAAGAGGTAGAGCTACGAGCAGGAACTCAAAGCAGCATCTTTCTGTCGAGCAGTTGGATGCACAGCTGGATGAGTACAATGCACAGATGGACACCAGTTGAACAGCCGGGCATATCCACAGAAATGACAGGACCCAGAAGCTTTGTCCGTAATCCCTCGAGGGGGTTTGAAAACTGGACTGTGAGGACAATGGTGGATTTCTTTTTGTTTGTCTCTCTCTGTCTTTTTTCCCTGTTTTCAAATGGGATCTAAAAACACATGTAAAGGCTTTTTTCCCTCCTTTTCTAATACGGAAACAGACCTGTTTTGTACCGAGTTATGTTGGCGATCAGTTTTACTGGTTACTGTTGTGCAGAAGGAGGCATATTCACCTTTGCCATAATAAACTAGACTTGTGTGTAGGAAAGAAAATAAAAAGAGAATTCTGGCTACAAAACCTACTGTGTTTTAGTTTGTTGTGAACTGCCACCTAGTGGTGAGACTGTGTAATTCCCACAAGAGGAGGGTCAATGCCTGCAGCCTGCTCAGGGGGATTGTTACAGAGAATGGATGTGGCAGAGTTGCAGCAGTCTGCTTTTTGTGGGTGAGAACAGTTTGCTTGCTGTCTCCCTTGCTCCTCCTGAGGGTTTCTTGGAAAAATACTTGTTAAGTGTAATTCTCTCAGGCAGATTTTCATTAAATTTGGTCTATAGTAAATTAAGTAATTCATTTTGTGTGCTTTTGTGATCCCAAATATTCAGTTCCATGTCTGCTCCTGAGGTTTGACTGGGTAGTGATTGGAAGTGGCATTCCAGTTACAGTCACTGAAGGTGGTTTGTAGTTATTTTCAGTGCTATGCCTGTTTATGTCAAATGGGGAATCACTTGAAGGGGCCTATATCTTTCACAACTTGAGTACAGTTCTGTGTTAACAATCCAGGTACTTTCCTTCTGAATGATCTCTTGCTCATGTTGGGGGCAATTAATCCCCCAGATCTGCTCACCTGCGGAGCCAGACAAAAAGTCCTAGAAAGTAGAGAGGGGGGAGATAGTAGTGAATGATCCAGTGGGATACATTCAGTTTTCCCGCATTCTGTTTTACTGGAAATATTTCTATAGGCTTCCACTGAGAAAGATCTCAGAATTATCCCGCTATAGCTATGACAAGACTTTCTACATAAGAATTGGTACTAGTTGGAAAATCCATCTTATATGAATAATCATGTGAGCCATGCCTAGTATATTTAGGTTCTACTTCAAGATATATCCTTGCCTAATGCTCAGAAATAGGCTAGGCTTTCAGTTCCAGAAATGAATTTCCTGTGGTTGAGTCCTCCTTAAGTCCAATTATAAGCTGTTTGTTACCACCAATGTATGTGTGCTGCTCTTGCAGCCTTCAGGTTATCATGCAGGGCAGACCATTTTTATGGTTCATAATTTTCATACCTGGGAAGGGCTGTTGACTTTATGTTGGGGGAAGTCTGGTGTCTTTGTCAATAAAGAACTGTTGACCAATAGCGAACCAAGATAGCTGGGACTAGGAGTCCAGAGGACTCTGGGAAGTAGAAACACAGAAGTTAAGATATAAGACCATGGGGTAAGACGCCCGGAAAGTTCTCCGGTAAGAGAAATACTTAGATTATCCATTATGGGATAAATACTTAAGTCAGGGCTAGCCAGGAAGAAACATACAAGGCCAACAGCTTCATAGTTGATATAGCCTCCTGTGTGTTTATTTGGGCCTGATGCGGCTCTGGAACCAGGCTGAGGGAAG